TGTTTCTGTGGCGACGGAGCCAGGGCGGGTAAGGGCTGGCAGGTACGGGGAGCCCCTCTGCTGCTCCCCGTATTGGGGGGGGAGCTGGCCTGCCTTGGGGGGCGGGGGGCTGTAAACCAGTGGGTGCAGGGTGGCCTGAGGCTGCCTGTGCAAGTCTCCCCCTTTCCAAGGGCAAGGAGGGGAGAGGGATGGAGACAGCCATGCCTAGGCAGACCCAAGCCTGGAGGTACCAGAGACTGCTGGAGGGTAGGGAGGAGATCTCCTTGGCTGGGCATGTAGGAAGGAACTTCTACACAAGCCCTTCTTCAGGTCTTAAAAGGAGCAGGGAACGTCAGAGCTACACACCAGCTGGGCAGGGTCAGAGGGGCTTTATAAGCTGTGTCTTGGCCAGAGGCATCTTTGAGAGGACAGGGTGTCTGTGGAAGTGCTGGAGAGAAGCATGAGGAAGGAATTGATAGCTCTTGGAACAGACCAGAGTTTCTAACCTCTCCCAATTTAATGCATATTAAAAGGGAGCAACTGCCAAATGTATATCATGTTGGTGATTTCTGCCTTTATTTTGGGCCTGAAAAGTGTTCATGTGCCAAGAACTTTATGTGATACTTTCCAGCTGTGTACCACATGCTCTAAAGTCAAGTCTTGGCTGTGTCCTCAAACTGCAGCTGCTACAGAACAGTGTCATTAATCTTCCCATCCTTTCTGGTAGGAATATTGTGTACTGCCAAACAGCTGTTAAAGGGGGAAAAAAAGTTTTCTTCTGTCAAGTTTATAGCAAATTTTTGTATTTTCTTTCCAAGAAACCGCTTACGCAGCAAGACAAGAAACTACATGGCAAGGTTGCTCCTAGATTATACCTACGGCCACAAACATGTATCTGAAGGCAAAGAGATGTAGTTAATTAGAAACCACAGTACACAAGGATACAGCTGATAAGGGGGCCAAAATGTTTTAATACCGAGAGCACTTTATAAAGAACAACATATATTGGCAAGACTGGTCAGGGAAAAAAGGCTTCAGGTGAGAATTCATGGAGATTATGAAACTAATGGAAATAAGATTTTTTTTTTTCTCATTAGTAAGATACTGCTAAAAAGAAAATGTGGTGAGCTTAATAATTTGAGACACACAATTAAATCTCTGTCCCAGTTAAATGTATAAAAGAAGCAGTTGTTCTTGATGCAGTCTGTAGATGGAAAAACAAGCAGCCCCGTGGAGGTCGTAGAAAAGCATCAGGGGCTTCTTCGTAACTGGTGTACCTAGTGTCAGGCGTCAGGGTTTTTTTATTCACAATAAATAATAAAATAATCTCTTAACCCTGTGGAGTACAAATGCAGGTTTAATTCTGCTTCTGGATCATTCGTTACTGCAAATTTCCTTGGCTAAGCATTAAAATAAAGTAAACCTTCACCATGCCTGCAACTGGAGTGCCAGTTCCTGGACCAAAACCAGATGGAAGGAAACCGAGCAGTGCCTCCTGGGCAGGCTGGGTCAGCGAGGACCAGCCAGGTAGGGCAGGGCTGCAGGGGTTGTACATCTGACTCTCCGTCCTTCCAGCTTCCCTTTAACAGCAGGATGCTTCTCTGCATCAAGTTTTGGCTTTTTTTTTTTTTTAGGCAATTGCTGGTATTTTAGGGCATTCACCTCTTTGCAGAAAGCTGACTGCTAGCAGTCCACAAGAAGGGAAAAGGCTTTACAGAAACATGCAGACTTAAGTTTGTCATGTACCTGACAGCTCGGCGTAGTCACGTGACCAGTGCTTTATCTCCCACAGGTAGAAGGTCACTGTGTTCTAGGCTTCCCTGAAGATCTAACAACTGCTAAAAATGGGATTAGCTGCCTGTGGTTTAGATCCTGCTTTGGGGTAAGGTAGCAGATACCGTGTTGTGGGGGTTTTTTCAGCCTTGTACTTTATCATTGGTTTTGCTTTCTCTTTCACCAGCAGAATAAATGCTGTTGAAATGGTTCTGACACGCTGTTTTCCAGAGATCCCCAAGCTGAGGTATACCTCGAGGATGCTTGACCACATCAGGCCTGTTTCTTCTTCCCTGGAGCAGAGTTTGTTCCAGAAGAGGTTTTCCAAAGCCTGACCTGTGCCAGCAGTTCTCTCTACAGCCCAAAGTACTTAGGGTCCCTGCAAACCACCAAAACCCCAATGGGCATTAGGGTGAGCGTGTTTCCATCTCCTACCTTTTTTTGTCCAGAATCATCTCTTCACTGGGGGTGTGCGTTCATTCCCTGGGCAAAAGGAAAGTTTGCCAACCTCATAGGTTTATCTTACATTGCATCGCTTCTCTGACCGTGCCATTTGATGCAGATCCAAAGTGTCGCCTTCTAGTCCTTGCAAAATGTGCTTGCAGCCTGGTGCTGCTGTGAAGCCCTTGCTGAGGCTGTTTTGTCTGCAGCACCAGTTTCTTTAGCCCCAAGACAGAAATAATGACGCAGAGCTTGTTTAGACAGCCACCCTGACCTCTCCCGCTCCTTGGCACATTTCTCGCTAGGAAGTGATGGCCACGTGTGTCTTGTCTGCAGGGCTGCCTGCAAACCCCAGATCAGCTTTGGCATTATCTTAATCGTCGGAGCAATTTCAGACACCTGACAGACCACTCTGTCAGTTTGACGGGCGCTGGAAGGTAAGCAAGGAAGGGATAAGGAGTCCGGGGTGATGGAAAGATATTAGAGCTGGGAATGCAGAGCTAGATCTCTCCCTTGGTCTCTCCTTATGGTAAGTAGCTGTGCTGCCTGAAGTGGCTGGATGCATGGGCCAGCTGTCCTGTCCAAGACTGGGCTGGAGAGATTCGAGGGAAAGATGTTTCAGGAATAATAAATAAGAGAGTTGCTAAATGAGCAATTCTTGGAACCATCCTTCCAAAGGATGCCAGACTCGCTGGGATGCTCTGTGATCCACGATTAAGAAAAGAAGCTCTTCCTGGCTTTAATGGACTTAGCAGGGAATAGCTTTACACTGCTTTGTAAATAAAAGACGCTTAATGGCACTGGGAGGTGAAAAATGCTTCACTCTTTGTCGGACATTGGGTATGCATGTGATGGAGTATTGGTAACGGGCGTGAAAAACGGTCTTTGGCCAGCGACAGGCAATGTTAATCTGCTGAAAAAACATGATCTCATCCATCTTTTTTGGCCCAGCGGAACGAGTCCTGGCCGTAAGCCTGACTTCAGGCTGAGCAGAACAAACATGTAGTTTAGGCCAGCAGTAAGGGAATGGTTTGTTGCGTGCAGGGTGGGTTGATGAAAAAGCTCTTCCCCTCCGTTTCAGGGATGTTTCTTACCTGTGTGACGTTGCGACTGGCCAAGAAGCTAAGACAGCAGCGACTGGCAGAAGCTCTTTTTCTGAGGGTCGTCGGGACCAGAGAGCGAGCCGTGGTACAGTCCCACATAGCACTGTGAGTGCCGCCATTCAGGCGTTTTCCTGTGTGTACCACTAGCCGGGGGAAGGGAGGTCCTCATACCAGTGTTACCCTGATCCGAAACTCATCAGCTCTCCTTGTGGCTCCAGCCCCCCGGCTCCCCTGCTGCAGTTTGGTGTTAGTTGTTTCAAGCTGCTTTTGGACACAGGTTGTTTCTGATGGGCTTGGATGTGTGGAGCGGGAAAACGAAAAGCAGCATGGAAAGCTGCTACGTGAGCATCCCTCTCCCGGCTGTGTCCTCTTTGGGGAGGAACCAGGAGTTTGTGCACGTCTTTTATGCTGACGTTGCATGATCTCTCTCTTTCCATCCATAGTGAGCAACCCTAACAGATAGGCTGGTTCCCAAGGAATTTCACATCGTGAAGAATGGGAGTTTTGCCCTTGAAGTACTTCGATGAGTGAGTGATTTCTACTTTACAGGCGTTTGTCCTCAGCTGTTCAGAGCAGGGGCATAAAGTGATGAGAGGCTGAGGATGCTGCCCAAATACACCTCTCGCTGTCAGGAAAGGGCGAGTATAAAAGGGGTGGTTGTGCAAATCCCATGCTAACGACCAGGCTGTAGTTAACCCTGCAGAGCAAGGTGACCCTCCTTTTCTTTGTCCCTGCCTCTCTGGGGTGGCTAACAGAGAATTTCCTGTACACTAGTACTGTTTCTCAGGGGGCTTTCAGCAGTTGGACATGAGTGTAGAAGCTGAAGTCTGGTTTGATCCCTTGAGGCAACTTTTGGGAGCTTTTTTCTTACCTTTTTTTTTTTTTTTAAATTTTGATTAGTTTCTCTGTTTTTCTTTCAGAGTTGCTTTCTGCCACAAAGCTGTGTGGCCTCTGGGTAGCTCTTACCCTCACTTTATGCTTGTATAGACCTACTAGCATCTTGAATCTGACCACTTTGGGGTGGGTTTTTTGTTGCTTTTTGTTGCCTTTTTTTTTTTTTTTTTAGTTGTTCAGGCTGTGAGTTTTGAATTGAGTTTACCAAGCCTTGCCCAAAAAAGGCTACTGAGACTCTTTGTCATTGTTCAGGGATTAAAATACTAAGATTAGGACTGAAATCCTCACAGCTTCTTTGCCAACATGATGTAACAGAACATTATCTTATTATTCAATGGTTTCCTGTGATCAGCCTCCAGGTAGGTGTGATGTGGATACATGGTGCTTTTCTGGCCCCACCAGTAACTTTTAAACCCGTTGGTCACTTCTAAGCTAAGTATGATGAGAGATCTTAAAGGGTTCCTACAGATTTCTGTCCTTAGAAGCAAGAAGGAGGAGCTCCAGCTGGGAGCACAGCTGTGGGAGGTCCAGTTCTCATGTTAGGCTCTGAATGAGCAACTCTGTAGACTCTCCTCTGTGTCTCCAACCTTCATCAGCTTGTACATGGGACAAAGGGATTGAAGGAGAGAGCAGAATCCCTTAGCTAGCACTGGGAGGATTGCTTTGTAATTGAGTTCTAATGTTTTTGTTCGTTTCAGTAAATACACAACACGGCTTGAACACCATGAAAAGAAACTATGGTGGTTCCCATCCGTGTAAGTACCACCCCGCTTGAAGATGTTGTTGGAAAAAAACAGCTGTTTGAATTTTATTTCCTGGGAAAATATCCCACTGTGCTATATAGAGTAATGATGTGTCTCTTTCTGGTCTGTCAGGAAACCTTTTGGGAGGTTAGAGGTCATCCAGCTGGTGGAGATGATGGACAGCATGTTGGAAAAAGCTGGAGCAGACCAGATATTCAGAGTAACAGGACCTTCACAGATGGATAACCATCTTGTACTCAGAAATATAACATCTTGATTTCCCTAGCGTTTATCCCTGTTGTGCTTAAGGTGCCTCCTAGAAGCAAGTTTCTGGCCAAGCCAGCTGTCTGTAGGTCCTGTAATAACCAGGGATTTCCCCTCCTGAGCTTCCCTCCATCTTCATCTGATCCACAAAGAAAAGTTAGCTTGCTGGTGTAGGAATTACATTTCTGGCAAAAATGCAGAAAGGAATGCATTTGCTGTTATTGCTATGGAGGAATGAAGGCAGTAGCTGTCTTATCTCTTTGTTGGGAGACAGGCTGCTGTGTTACAAAATGGGCCGTTGCAAACCTTCGTACACCTAAAAAGCAGATGTCAAAGAACATCTGTACCTTGCTTTGCCTTATTTTCTGTCATTCTTGCATGGTGATGGGGAAGTATTTTTGAAAAATACAGAGCATTGCCTCAGGAGGTACTCCAACTGGAATTAGCAGAGAAGCTCCCATGGGAAGACAGTGTTGTGATTTGAAGCAGAGCTACAGGAACCACACTTGAGCTTCCTCACACTCCTACTGCACCCTCTTAGTGCCAAATAATACCAAAGCCACCTCCTTTACTTAGCACACTGTAGGTTCATTGGTGGGGTACTGCAGGATGGGGTTGTTGGAGCAACATGCGTGCATGGGAAGAGGAGGTCTTCAAGATGCTTTTCACCTCTACAGTGAGATGAGTTGGAGGAAGAGAGTCCTGCGTGATGGTGTACAGCCCACCAGTCTGTGCTTGACAGAGTAGAGACCTTTGGGTTGGGCTAAACTGCATTAAGACTGTTCCCTGCTGTTTCAGCGAGCTGTGTGAGGTACAAGAACATGACTGCAAGGTGACCAAAGAAGCAGAAAAAGCTCAAAAGGAGCTAGCTGCAGCCAGGCAGGAGGATAAAGCGAATGCAAAGTTGCTTTCAAAGTTGAGGTTGGGAGATTTCTGTAGTATGCTGGTATCATTCTCTTGGGGTTGTTGGGAAGGAGAGGTGAGGACTGATTTCCTTTTGGGGAAAAGCACTTGGCTGTTTGTGACAAATGCCATTATTTTGCTATAAATCCTGAACTCCTCAAAGGGATATAAAACTGTTCAAAATGTTGCTAGTTTTAAGTCATGAAAGTTGCATTTGCTGCTCGTTGCTCAGGTGCTGGCATTCCCTTTTCTTCACCCCACATTCACAGCCAGGGAGCTCTTCATAGCCTAGCAGAGCCTGCAGCTCTGAACTTCTGAGGGGCCTGTGGGCATCTTCAGATACCAACCACCTAAACCCCCAATTTCTTAGGTATCAGAGTTGTGATGAGTGAGTAGGCACACAGATATACTTACAGGAAGGAAACAGCCAGTCTAGTCCCAGCAGAGCTGTGTTTATACTGACTGGAAACTCACAATGGGAATATGAACAGAAAGGGGTTGTAGGGGCTCGGGGAAAAGGACTTGTAAATTTACAGGCTGTGCAGGAGGCGACTGAGGAAGGAAGGAGGAAGAGGAAATGTCTAAGAAAAGCTTTAGGAATTGGGAGAAAGACAGTAAATTTGAATGAGAAACACAGGTGGGTGTATTTCGTTGTCTTTCTCTTCTAGCCTTTTGGAAGAGCATCAGGAGTTGTACAAGTTACAGAGAAGATGACTGGAAGAGCAAGTTCTGCTGCTACCTCGAGAGAGAGACATTCGGAGCTCAGCTGTGTATGACCTGGCTCTGAAGGTAGGTGCGGGAGATCAGTCGTACAGTGCAAGGTATAAGCCATCATAGGTAGCAGTCTTGTTCCAAGGGCAGATTTGATCCCAAAGAACATTTTTATTCAATATGACTGGGGAGTAACACATCTCATACCTGCCCTGACCTCATTTCCTGAGGTCTGTTATACTTTGTATGTGTGTTTTTAAAAACAGAAACCAGTTAATTCACACAGCATTTTTGGTTTGGATCTACAGGTTCCATGCAGGAAGAACTTCTATGAAATTAATATTCCCATTCAGAGATGGGTTTGACTAAAAAAGTTTCCTGTTCCTCATAATTTAGAATATCGCAGCCAGATTCCTTATACTTCCCTACAAAATACCATTCTTGGTTAATCCTGTGCTTCCTTGTGATCTATTTTGTCCCATTCAAGTTTAAAATCTGTTAGCAGAACTTCTGCGACTGTCTGAGCGATCAGAGATTTAATTGTAAGGAAAGTGGACTAAACCGCTTGAGCTCCATTTCATTGATGGCAAAGCTCCCGTATTATTGTCAGATGCCTCTCCTCTCAGAAGAAAATAGGGTAGATAACTTTTTTCTTTTTTTTTTCAGATAATAGACAGAAACCAGCTCACAATTGTTCACAGGCTCTATGTTTATGGAAAGACACTGATCAATGTTCTCAAGCATTTCATGGTCCTCTTGGCCTCAAAGGTAGGGGCCTGTCTGTGATGGGTACCTGTTCAAAGTGTGTGTGTGCCTGGTCCAGGTAGCTCTATAGTTCTCAGTAAAACATTTGGTACTTTGGCTGTTATTTGAACTTTCAAATCTAGGTCTAGTTTCAAACCAGCACTAAAATTTGAATGAGTTCATTCTCTGCCTCTCTTTCTCTATTTAATCCATGTCCCCTTTTCTCTACTACAAACTTCTTTTTTTTTTTTTTTCCCCCCAATTTCCCATTTTTCTTTGTGGCTTTGTCCTCTCTCCCCATTCCTTCTCCATAAAACCAAAACAGATCCAGGCTAGTGTAATTTTGGCCTCATAGGTATGGGGCTGCATGGTCTCTCGGTAGCATACAAGCAACAAGTAGTCAGGCGCTCAGTTCTGACATGCCTGGGGAGGGTGAGCCACCCTAGTCCTGTCTCAAAGGGCTTGTGAGAGCTGTGCTGTGGAATTACAGACATTTCCCAGATTTCTGATATGTACATATCTCAAAATAACTAGGGCAAAGGGAGAATTCCTCTGACTTGGATCAAAATAATCACAACAGTCCCTTTTCCTACTCTTTTGCCCAACACCTGCAGGACATGGGAGACCTGCCTGATCTGCAGGAAGAGACTGAGCTGTTCAGGGAGGGCTTGGGTCCCACTGGAGCAGAAATAGAGCATTCCAAGGAGTCCAGCCAGAGAAAAATGAAAATTGTCTGCAGCAGCCTCAACAAGCAGCTTCAGTACTTCCACTGCAGTGACTCGTGAGTGGCCCAGAGGGTCCAGGGGTGGCAGTCAACTCCCTCAACCTTTGCCTCGTGACAGTAGGTCTCACTGGCCCAGTGCAAAGCACGCACTGACTCTCACGTGCGGTGGGATTCTGTGCAACTTTCATGTCCCTCACTGCTCTGCTTTTCTGCTCAACACGTGTATTTTGATAAACTGGTCCGTTATAGTAACGCCAAAGTGATGCTGTAGGTTTGTGGTTTAATTCAGTGGAGCAAGGATTGTACCCTCCTGCTGCGAACCAGACTGTCCTTTTTGCAGCTGTCGTTGCTATAACAGAATTCTCTTTACTTTGGTTCATTTTAACTTGAATGCACGTGCATTGATGCTTCAACAGAGCATTCCGTTCTCTCATGTACAGATACAAAATGAGACTGAAGTTTCAAATCCAAAGTAATTTTGTATATTAAGGTGATGATATTTTGCAGGCTTTTTGTTAGTTCATTGTGATATGTTAAAGAAAACAAAGCATAAATTCAAGTATAAAATGCAGAAAGGCACACAGTGCATGCCTTAACAAAAGACATCACTTTGTAGATTTCAATCCTGAAGTTAATAATGTCTAAATTTTCAGTATGTGCTTGAATTTGGTTTTCATCTTTGCCCAATGTAGCGTATTTTCTTAACAGACACCCAGTGTTTGTGTTATGTGAAGTGAGAGAACAAAAACCCCTGGTTGAGTAGGGCCTGGTGGTTTTCACTTCTTTTTCACTTTACAGTTTGTATCACAAACTTGGTATGTGTAGAGTATATCTTGATTCTCGGTTTTACACTGGCTACTAAAGGAGTTTTTTTTTCTCTCAGCTCTCATCCCTTCTTTCCCTCTGTTTTAGCTCCCCTCTGGTGAATGAAAAGCTACTGGATGAAATCCTGCAAGATATCAAGAATTTGATAAACATAAGATTTTGGGGGATTGGATGTTATTGAGTGGTATCTACTCAGCAAATTACCACATGTTAGCTGAGCCCCAGTGAGCATCTATGCCCCTCACAAACGTGAATGAAAACACATCAGCTCAAATCTTTTGTGCTGGAGCTTAAGCTAACAGTCTACGCACGGGAAGTTATAATTGGCCGATACCATGGTTCAGCCAGTGCGTTACACTTAGTCGTGCATTTGAGCACTGTGTGACCTTATCAGTCTGGTGACTGATAAATGATATTAATCCATAGAAGCGCTCAGAATTGTCACCAATAAGTTTCCAATGTATTGTGCTATCTACTCACTGCAACATCTTTATGCTCATGGGTTCCTCACACTTCTCTTACCTGATTTCCATCACCTTCTGTTGCAGCCAAGACGTGGTCCAACTTTTGAGGGCACGGCAAGCTTGCTACTTTTCTTTCAGATGCTAAAAGAAGACCAGCAGGAGGTACACCTAAGAAAGCGGAAAGTCTGAGGAGCGCTGCCAGCCTGCAGGAGCGCTGGACAGAGCTGGGACAAACAGTGCTGAACCAACACCGGGACTTTGCTGGAGTGTTGCCTGCACAGCACGCTGTCCTGGAAGAAATAAACCAAAGGACATGTGAACTCTACCGGCAGTACAACGTAAGGATAAGTAGGAATAATGGCAAGGAATGGCCAATTGTGCAGTTCAGTCTTTCCTTGAGGATGCCAGGAAAGTAGCAAGTAATAAAGGAGCAGCTGACATAATCTGTACTGACCTTTTCTAAAGCTGAAGTCTGACCCCCAGGTGTGTGCTGGGAATCAAGAGCATTCAAGGGATAAACTTCAAGAAACTTGACTCACAGTCACACATAAAAAGAATATCTAAAATTTTAAATGTGATACAGTGCAAAGAACACGCAATGACAGAGGGAAGGCAGGTATCATGTTCAGAGGGAGTGTGGATGGTTTGTGATCATGTGGATAACTTATGGAAAAGAAAATAAATGTAAAATGAAAGAATGGATGTCTAAAATGTAAAACATCACTTTGAAGATCATTAACTAGATAACACTGTCTCAGAGGGTAATACGTTGTTTTTTTTTAGTACCTCACCACTAATGCAAAGTTATCTTAATCTAATCTGAATTATCTTGATTAAAAAAGTATATAAATAAATGTTTTCTATGCTGATATAAAGTTATCATGTCCTGTGTAGGATAACAAATGATTGTTGGGTAATTTGCAACTAACCTTCTTAACCTTTGCCACTGCAAGACCTTGACTCATTTCTGATTTCAGAGTTGTTTCATTTTTGTTTTTTTAATCATCTTATTTCCTTTTAGCAGACTAAAACTAAACTGAACACATGCTGTCAGGAACTGCTACTCATGTTTATTAAGCTGCTTCTCATACTGTCATCTTAT